ACAGAATAATTTATCTGGCCAAAATATATTGAGAAGGCTGCAAAAAATAGGTGAGATAAGGTGGTGGGCACGTGAAAAAGACCTTAGATGAATATATGGCAAAGAGAGCTTGCTCTCAATAACGATAAAGGCATTTCAATTTATAATAGATAATAAATTATTTGAGACAAAAACTTGATAATTTATATAAATTTGAGACTCTAAGTATATCTATAATATATTTGGAAATTTTTAAAATAATGGGGCCACCATATCTTCAACTAAAAAATTAGTACTTTGTCAGCATGGAAAATGAAAAAAGATGCTAAATCTTCTTTATCATCGATTATTAGATCGATTCAAAATAAAGCAATAAAATGGCTGCTAATTTAAATGAAACCTTTTCATATTTATAGCTCCCGGAGAGTATCTGAGTACAAAATGCTCTATAAAAAGATAAATAGGACGAGCGAAGAGAATATATAGTGACAAATGCCAAGATGAACGTCCTCATGAATCGATTGACCTTTATAGGTTCGAACTATTTCGTATAATTGCATTCAAGACATTTCGATGAAATAAATAATAAAGATATTTCTGAAAAGGCCTTGGAAAAACTGGCACAATTAGCATATATATTGAGTGTTAAATTTCATGATCAGTGTATTCAAAGATTTGGTAGCAGAATTAAATGAAACGGACAATGATATCTCATGTACAAGTGAGGAGTCAAATGAAGAATGGAATATTACAATAAGATAATAAATCAGAGCATAGGTGTAGCCATTTTCCTAAGGGGGGGGGGAAGGGGGGGGGGGTTAAGAAATTCTTTTGTCCGGCCTTCGGCCGGGTTACCTTACTCTATATATATTCTTTTTACAAGATAGGAGGTTAATTTAATAAAAAAATAAGCCTGGCACAAATATGAAATATATTTTTATTAGTTTATTTAAAATATAATAAATTACTTGTATATACATTAATATAAAAGCATGGTAATAATTTATTCTAAACAAGTATAAGAAATTTATTTATAAAAAGTAAGTAGACATATAGTTGATATTCCTTTATTATATAGAATTAGTTACAAAATACTAGGTAAAATTCCACATTTACAAACATATTTGATAGATAGAGAATATATTACAGTTAATATTTTAACAAATTTTACTAATCAATGCTCTTGATATTAAATATAGCAAACATCTGATTCAATTATTTAACGCCATCTATTTATATTAAATAAAATCTGTATTAAAAATTAACTTCATATTATTCATCCCACAATGTCTTTAAAAGATATTTTCTGATGTCCTTATCAATATTTTATAGTTTTCTATAAAATATATAATTCGCTATTGGTAAAAATTACTTGATTGTCATATGATAATTGATAAAATTAGATATACAGTAAATCTACGACGTATAATATTCCACTGTTTGTATTGTGCTTTAATTTTTTTATTTAATTTATGATTTAATTTTATCAATAGTTTTTAAATTTATTTTACTTTTATTAAGATAAATAAATTAAAATTAGTCACTTTATAAAAAATTATATTTGATATATTATATTATTTAGTAATTTTATGGATCTATTATTAAGAACTATAATTCATGGCTTATATTCCATTTCTTAAAAAACATTTTTGGTTCACTTTTTTTATATAGAAATGTTTTTTTCCAAAAATGTATAAATTAAATTATGATGAATAGTTTTATAAAAAAAATATCAACTTTTACTTTCTTTCTTTCAAATTATTGTTTAAGATATATGCATACATTTTGAGTCAGGGAGTGGGGAAAGGACTAAGGGGGATATTTTTTATTAGCTTAAAATGATATTCACAAAAAGTGATAAATTTCTGAAGGTGGGATTTCCCCCTCCCCTGTCTACGACTATGAATCAGAGTGTGATAATAAATGTAACAAGTGTTTGATATGCGTGTATGAAATTCTTAAAAATACAATATGCATACAAGTGACACTAATTTATTTTTGGCATATGAATACATTTTAACTTTATCATTTACGCAGGTTAATTGCGAGAAAGCATTTATTAAATTAAAAATTATAAAAAAATGCTGAGAGCTAATATTGACCAAGAATAATTAGAAGAGTTTTTAATGATGTCACTTGAACGGGAACTATTAGCGTAGATTGAACTAGAAGATATTCCTGTATATTTGCGCAAAGGTTCAAAGTTAATGAGAGATTTATTAACGAAAAAATTTTATATTTTCTTAATTCTTTTATTAGAATCTTGTTAATATTATTTAATATATGATCGGTGCCTGATTTTATTAAAGTGCAACAATTTTATTCTCTGCTATATTGTATAACTGCAATAATTTTATATATATAATTAATTGATTTGATATATTGAGTATTTTTATATTTAACATGTGATGTATGATTTGATTTTATAGTGCAATTTCGTTGTAAATCTAATATAAGATATATATTTTCAATGAATATTATTTTATATAGGTAATGAATATGATTTTAGATGTGCATTTTTTTAAAATAAAATATATGATTATCATATAATACTATTTTTTTTTTACTAAAAATGTAAAACGTTTGAACTTATTTTTAAAATAAAAAGTAATAAAAATCATGTAAATCAAAGAAGCCATTTAAGGGAACCCGGTCGAAGGCCGGACAAAAGCGGGCCGAAGGCCCACAAAATGGGGGTATGGGGGTGAAGTCCCATATAAATGAGGCTGCTATAGAAAATGCCCACGAGGCCTTAAAGTCGCCAGTCCGCCCCTGCTAAAGATTAAATAGGTGTTAGCTCTTTTTCTTAAACATAGGAAGTTGACACCCTGTTGAAATCATTGATGACTCAACCAAATAGATTGAATTTTACTTTATAAATTTATAATATAATTCTTAATCATATTTTCTCTCATTTTTTATTAGATCACATTTTTTTTCATGAATACTTTGTAAGTTTATATTCACGGAATTGATTTCATTGTATTACCTTCGCTCTAAAATTCGTTATTAACAATATTTGCGATAAAAATTTCGTTAAAAAGCGTTTCGTGAATGGACCTTATACGAATTTTAAATGCTTAAAAAATTATATTTTTTTACAAAGTTTGTTTTGGAGATATTTAAATATTGGGAATATAAAATTAATAATGCATTACCGGAAAGTATTAACAAATGTTTATGTCTAATTAATTTTCCCTTTCGGATTGTGTTATATTTAGGCGTTTTTAATAAAAAATTATAACACGTTGATGAATTACCATTAAATAACTTTGAGTTATATAGTGCCATTTTTTCAAATTGAAATAGGATATTATGTGATTAAGGAACCTAATAATTTTTTAAATGTTGTATGTGGTTTAGAAGTTACAAGTCTTCAGTGAGGCTTGAAAAATTTCTTAGAGACTAATTTGATCACAAGTTTTGATTATTTTTGCTTGAAAAAACTTGAGGCAAGTGATACGTTTTACAATTAGTTTATATTAAAATATTGATGTTAGGGAGGAGGGGAAATAGGGAGGTGTGGATGGCTATTAGGTAGAGTTTTTCCTATAAATCTTGTGAGTTCTTTGGCTATGTTACATTTTTTAAATAATAGTTTTGACTTTTCACTTTTTTAAAGTATAGAAATAATTTTTTTCTAAAAAATTTGAATACTACTCATTATTTTAGAAGTCAATCAACTTTTGCTTAATTACCTTTCAAATTATAGTTTGTAGTGATATATTATATACATTATTTGGTAATAGAGGGGGGGGGTGATAATGATAATTTTTAGCTTAATATTATATTTATAAACAAGCAATTTTTGCAAGGGGATGATTTCCCTTCTCTCTTATCCATGCTATGAATTTTTAAAAATGTACTATAAACAAATAAGGAATTTTATAAACAATCATAGTGGAAAAACTTTAACTTCAACATAGATCTTAGTAAAAGAAATTGAGGTAAAAATTTATTATTTGGTATAACACAGGGGTGTTATTAGCTGAGTGCTCTTGGTGTTAAAATACCTCCTTTTACAAAATTAGCACCAATTATGAAAAATAAATTTGCATCCTATTATTTTTTAATTAGCACACAATTTATAAATTAGTAGAACCAATTTTAGTTAATAAATAAATATTTTATTTAAATAAAATTTTTACAAAAAGTTAGGGTTTATTTTAAATAAATTTTTTTGTGTCATTAAGTCATTTTATTATATAATTTCCTTCTTTTCGCCTTATAAAGAAACAAAATGGTGAAATATCAAAGTATATTTAAAAAAATGGTATGTAATCTGTTTATTATTATTGTATATTGTAAATTTAATGAGCCTAAATATCAAAATAAAGCAAAACCTAAATATAGAATACGTTAATATTGTTTAGCGCTGATTTTTAAGTATTGTGCTAATTTTAAAATTAATTTAATATTCATTTTTAATCAGTCTCTTCAAAAAATGTAAAATTAAAGAACTTAATTAGCGAAAATATATTTTTAAATTTTTTGCTAAGAAAATCTAACAAATAAAGGCTTTATTGGGATTAATTAAGGATTTTTTTCATTTGTTAATAAGGGAAGGCATTTAAGGTAGATTCCACATTTGTGTTCGATTTTCATTGATTAGAGAATATATATATATATATAAACGATATAGTAGAAGATATATATATGGACACAAGGCTGAAGGCCCGCAAGAGGAGGATATAGGAGGTCTTTGGCTATATTTGATTTTTGTAAAAATATTTTAAGGTTTTCGCTTTTTTATATAAAAATGCTTATTTTTCTAAATATTTTGGATTATAGTCGTTATTTTTAATAATTTATTAGATTAAAATGATATTACCGAGAACAGTTAATCGAGAAGGGGGTTGGTTACATGAGTGGAATAATTAAATAAATAAGATAAGTATTATATTATTCAGTTTTTTAATTGTATAAGTATTAAATTATAGATATATATTGATTATTATTAATAAATAAACTTTTCAGTTTGAAGAAGCAGACGATTTTTTATTGGACATTATAAATATAATAATTAATGCCCAATAGAATAATCAATTATCCTTTTTTATTATTTTTCAACCAAGAAAATCTAAACTATGAATGTAACTTATATTATATGATAAAATTTATTTATAAATACTCTATTTTTTATAATCATTTATCATTTACACACAAATCCCTATATTTAGGAAAACAAAGATAAAGATGATGGTTTACTTTATTAATTATTAACGACGATTTACTATCTATTATCTAGATGATTATGATATATCGGATGAATACGAGAATTCTGAAGATGATGAGCAAACATTGATCGAGGAAGAAAATTTAGAGACTGAAAATCCAATAGAAAATGAACTTTCTGACCTAGCTAATGTTTATTCTTTATTTTTACATTAAATCTACATTTAAAAGAACAGATATATATAATTTAAGAATATATAATATTTTTCTTAGGAAGCTGAGCTACCAATTGAACAATTGTTAGCCAAATATGGATACATGAATAATAATAATAATATTGAACACAATTCTTTTGGTAAACTTGAGGAAACAGATGATAGTTATAATACAACTTCATCTGAAGATGAAAGCTCTTTTTCCAAACAAATTTCTAAACAATATGAAAGTATATTAATATATAATAGTAATCTTATTTTAAAATTTATTTTTTACACTTAAAATTCCTAACATTGAAATAATTTAAATTTAATAATAAAATTCATTGTTGAAAATATTTTTATATTCTAAAAAAAATTAGAAAAGGCTGAAAATTCACCACAATATGTTAAACGAAAACATGAAGACTCACCTGAAAAATCAATAGAAGCTATAGGTATAAGTTATATAAAACCTAACAATATATACATCACATTACACGAATTTAATTAGTTTACTCTTTTGTTGGATATTATAATCCTTTTTGAGAGACTTTGGCCAAATTACATTTTAATAATTATTTTAGAGGGGAGAGTGAAGAGAGTTTAGTAATAGTTTGTTAGTTTTTAATGACATTTACAAAAACTTGTTTAACAAAGAGAGGAATATTTCCCACTTCCACTCTTGTTTATGTGTATACCAGATCTGTTATTTTAGATCAGAGTTTAAAATTACAAAAACTCCCAACTATTAATTAGTTTTTAATTAATATTCTGCCTTATTTCTTTTACACTTTCCTTTATATTTCATACCCATAATATATTTATTATTAAATTTTATGATTGATTTCTAAGGATATTTCTTGTCTCTAATTATGGTATGCATTTTAAATTTCCAATATTTCATTATTATTATTATTATTATTATATATATGCACACACTATGATAAAGATATGAAGAGAAATAAGAAAACAACCTTGCAGAATCAACCAGATATCATAAACCAAATTGTGAATCATAAGGTCGAAATGGTGGAAAAACCTTTTAAAGGTTATTTAAATCAAAATCATTCATGCTATAGAATTAATTAGGGGAGTAAAACATAAAAGAAAAAAGAAGAATAATAAAAAATATAACACATTTCTCAAAAATTATTTAAAATCAAGGTTCTCCTCCTAAATCTCCCACTCGACCAACTTCCGTTACCAACAATAATAAATCCTCTTACACTAAATATCTATTGCTAAATCCCGAAAAAAACCAAATTACTAATAATCATTCTGATAATATCACCATTAAAGAAGGTTAAAATTCAAAATAAAAAATTTACAAATATTATGTTTAATTTTCCCTGGCATCTATATAAAAATTCTTAAGTTATAATAGATGTGGTAAGCCAGGCGAATTTTCTATTATCACTAAACAATGGACCTGAATAGACCAGTATTAGTTGGTCCTCCAATTTTTGAGTAGAGTTTTTTTTTTTAAATCAAAGATTATTTTTTATATCATTTTTTTTGAAAAAAGATGATGGCAAGGAAAGTTCTAGTGATGAAGATTATGTGCCAATAGAATATTGGAAAAAGGTTTTCCTTTACTATTTTATATACTTTTTTCTTTTTAGACTTTTCAATTCTTACCCATTCTTTACTCTATTATTTTTGAGTTGTACTATTAATTACTTTTCTAGAATCAAGGGTAATATCTCAGTAACAATTAGGGCTGTGAAGATATTTATATTAAAATGACCTGTTTATAAATATGTATACCTTATTGGCACTCTGACGGCTAATTTTTTATGCTTGAACATCTTGGAATATCGGTATAACATTAAAACTTGTTATAAAGGAAAATTATTATAACCTAGCGTCATAATTTAGCCAATCAGGAATTTATTCTGAATCGAATTGGCAAAAATTTGCTGAAAACTGATCCACAACATAGGACCATTTCATTTGTCGATGCTGGCTTTTCCTTAACATATTTTTTGTTTGATAAATTATTTTTAAAGTTTTATAACGTTCCAAGATGTTATGATGCATTAAAAGTTTTCTGCTTACCTTGTGGTATTTCATATGCACTTTTATAACCATATCATTTTAATATCGGCAACAGCCCTAGTAACAATTATAATTAAAAATTTTTTTTATTTATTTTTAGCAAATTCAAGTGGGCAAAGAGTATCAGGCCGATCTAAATGTCTTAGGTTATACAAAAAAAATTTTTATTTTAGCGCAATTTGTATATAACTTTATACTTGATTTTCTGATATAATTTTGCCTGACTTTTTAGTAAAGATAAATAAATTAATGAAGATTTAATTAACAAAATGTGACCTAAAATACATGAATACGTTATTTAATTATTATTACTAAAAAAAATAAACGAGAAAAAGAATAAATAAATGGTATAAAAGATAAAAATAAATAAGGAAGAATAGGTAAAGAAAGAAATTTTTTTATTTTTATGTAATAATCCCGTTGAATTATATAAATTTATACTGTGATATTCAATTTCCTTCGGGATTGAACTAATTTTCAATAATTCCATCAGGAATGAATAAGGAGCAAAGCCATTTAACCTACGTTGTATAGGCTTCAATTTGATACTATTTATAAAAAAAGGGCTATCTCAATATTTTATCATAAAAATATTACACAAACCTCAAGATTTTTCTCATAGATGACACAAAGGTTTTCTACGCAAAATCTCGAGGATTAGGCAATATCTTTTTTGGATTGAGTTAGCCGTTTTTAAAAATCGTCTCAAACAAAGCCATTTAATAACACTAAAATAATGGTCGAAAGACGCCGATATTTAAAATCCGATTGGATCGACACCGATATTTAGCGTTTTCAAAAAATATCGGATCGAGTCGATCTTGTTTGAAAAACCGATCCGATATTTTTTATTGTTTTGGGTTATTTTACAATAATATATTATATGATCATATAATTTTTTTTTTATTTTATAAATAATTTCATAATAATAAATTAAATGAAAGGAACTAATATACAATTTATTTGTTGTAATGTTTAAAAAAAAAATAGTTTAAAATTTTACACTATTTTTTTTGTTATATTATCTGCAAAAAGAAAAGAATTTTTAAAACATCTAGCGGAGTCACATTCAGTTAGTGTTGCTAAACGGCTCGATTTAGCGCCAAGAGTAAATTACCCATGCTTATTGATTTTTTCCACAGATATCGGAAAGGTATGGATTAATATATTTGACCGGTTTTTTAAAAGTTCAAACAGGACCAATTAAACCATAAACCGTTATTTTTGTTTGAACCCGAACCTAATCTATATTCGTTACGGCTTCGATTCCAGGAAAAAAAATTTATAATTTAATTTAATAAATTTTAGACGTCAAATCTGCACCAAATCATGTTAGTTATTATTATTTTACATTTTTATAACAAAAGATTGATTTTTTTCTTCTTAGAAAATAGCAAAAAGCAGTGAAATAATATGCATTACCGATTTTGAATATTTAAAAAAAAATTTATTCCGGTTCTTAATTTTTTTTAAAGCGTTTCCGGTACATAGATATAATCCTGTTCTAAGATTTCGGTTAACGACTAAATCCAGAATATAAATATCATTTTTAACAATTTACATATGGTGTCGTTAAACTTTTGTTATAAACCGGTTCGAGTTTTCCTGCTTATAATTTTATGAGAGAAATTGGTATCGGTTGCTAGATTCCTTCTACGAGAATCTCCTTTCTAAATTCTGATTTTTTATAAAATCACTTTTAATTAAGGGAGTTAAAAAAAATTAATGTATTTCTCCAATAAGGTTAATAGAACAATTTATGATTAAACCCTGCATAATATTTTTCCCTTCTTAAAGGTGATGACACCGTTGAACGATTGGAACACCAAGCTGATCTCCTATGGGATCCCAAAAATATACCCGAAAATAAAGGTATTATTATATTAACGTTCTAAAGCTCTGCATAAATCTGTCCCTCAGGTCTATGTTCTGTTCGGACTTTTTTATTATTATTTTGTTTTGATTTTTTAATGCATTTCAAAGAAGAAGAAAATGACAAAATATCTTATTCTCTTCATGCGTTTAAGATCTCTTTCCACTTTCCGTGAAATAAATATATCTTTCTTAAAAACCTTAATATTATCTTTGAATCAAACTCAAACCTTATTTTAACTCAAATCGAAGTTGAGCTGGATGGAACGGTATTATGATTTCATCTAGTATATATTAAAAGTATCTCAGAGCCCTCATGACCACTCCCAATCCCCTCCATGGATATTGACTATGAAGTTACACCACCTGAAATTATGATGACGCATTTGTATAGTACTCCGGCCCCTTCTCCCATACTAGAGACCCTTAGAATATTTTAATAAATTAAACGAATTTAAACTTTTCTTTTCAATGGAACCGCTTTTTTTTAAACAAAGTTAAAACATTTTTGAGAGATGTCAATTGCTACCTCGTTCAGGCCCAGAAATGTTCTACCCTGACAAATCCAAAAATACCGATCATCGAGAGGACGAAATCAAAGAATGCGACAACCAATCAAGCTGAAGTAGATGAAGGCCTCCTCACCCACTCCAATCTCCCAAAATCGTGCACCGTTCACGATAATGCTAATGTAAAACTAATTTGATTTATTATTGTAGAACCTTTTTTTTGCCTCCTCGTAGGAAGTCAAGTATCACATAATTATAAATAAACGGCGCCCATATTTTTAGTGATATTTCTTTGCTTCCTTTACGATAAGTATATATATTTATGGAAGACCACGTCATTCATGATTGCCTCTGTATAAACTGACCACCTCCTGAAATTTTATTTACATTATAATTTAGAAAAAAAGATGCAATGAATGAATAGAATAAATATCTTATATTTTTCATTATCAACTAAAAGGCCCTAAAAATTTTGATGAAATGCATGTATGACTCTGAAAGCGCTTTACGCGAGATTAAACACGATTCATCTGATCTCAATGAAAGTAATTCAATTCTTCTTTTAATAAAACCTGTGATGTGGTCATTTAATAGCTTTAGTGAAGTTATCTCCACGTCAAGTTGCGTTTTGAATTTTTTTTTTGATAAACTTATAAAATTCAGGTTTGTGAACCTGAATTGTCGCTCAGAAATTTTAAAATGGTTTGGACATTTTGCAAAGAAAAAACAGAGGCCGATTTAGGGGCAACCCATCTAACTCGGTGTAATATGAATCCAGAGCGGGTTCGGACCTCTCTTAGAAATCGGTTTCGGGTTAAGTTCCCGTTATCAAAATTTCCCCTAAATGGAGTTTATAATTCCAAAGTTATTCGTGAAGCAACCCTCTTTATTTATTTTTTAGTTATCACTGAATTACGAACATAAAAATGTTTAATTAGAAAACATCATATAACGGTCCATTTATATTTTTAAAAAAAAAGATCATCTTAGAATTAGATTATTCCATCACTTTTTATCATTTTACAGGAGTGCAATATTAAAAATTAAGTTTCTACATTGTTTTCAATAGGATGGTTGACTTTATTTTGGCTATGATTTAACTTAATTTATAAATATTTCAGATTTTTTTATAATTATAAAAAATTGATTTATTTTTAAAAAAAAGTCATTTTTGACAAAAAGTGAATATGGAATAACCTCATTCTCAAACGAGCCGGAGTTATACATTAATTTTTTTTTTTAGGATTTCGTAAGAATATGTATGCCTAGTTAGAAGTTAAATTTTAAAATTTGTAACCATTATATAAAGGAAAAAAAAGATAGGATATAAAAGTAAAGGAGAAAAGAATAATTCTTTTATATTTCTATTTATTATTTTTATCCAAATATATTATTTAGAATCCAGGGAATGGAATGAAGATGATTGCCTCAAGTTTGAGGAAGGTTTACAAATGTTCAGCAAAGACTTTTACAAGATCCAACAAAATAATGTTTTTCTAAATGATATTTATTTTTCTTCGAAGGAAATATATAATATAATAACGTAATATTGTCGAATTTCATTTTCAAAGTTCGGTTACTTAATTTTAGGATTTGGGGTCGATTTTTCGGCCCGATTAAAGTTTTAGCTAAAATACTATAATGTAAGCCACAAGATTTAGCTCGTAAGATGGCAGAAAGGATTTAACCTCTATTTGCTAAATTTCGAGGTTTAGATAATATTATTTTGGCTAAAATACTAATCGGGCAGTTTAACAACACTACTTAATTTTCAATTATTAATTAATGTTTAATGACCATCTTCAAAATAAAAAGTTATTTTTATATTGTTGATAATGTTAAATATTACCTTTTTTTTAAAGAAGAACATCTTCAGTTTCACGGCCAGAACCACGTCTTCTTTTTAAAATGAATGGAAATGTCAATACATTAAGTTAAAATTAAAATTTAATAGTATAAATCAATTATTTTTCAATTCCCCCAAAATTTATAAGTTAATCATCGTGCTACAAAGCGTTAATTTTTATTATAACATATTATAAAAAATTATGATAAATGTTTAGGGAATATATTCATATTTTTGCCCCAATCTTTTCTAGTGGTTATTGCATCACGAGCTTTTAAGATATGATAGAAAACATAAAGAAATAAATCTATAAACGCCAAAAAAAAAATTTTTTTTAATTTTCGACATATATTTTGCGTCTTAAATAATTATTCAATAAATTTTATGTGAGAATTATTTATTTTTTTTTAAAAATGACATTAATTAATTATACATTTTTGATTAAAAATTTTTTTTTTCCTTAATAAATGTTTTTTTCTAATTCTTGGTAATTTAAGGTGAAATTAAATTGATTAATAATTAAGATAATAATAGTGTTTAAACGGCTCGATTTGAGCCGATTTTTCAAAACGGCTAACTCAATATTTTATCCAAAATAATTAGATAGCAGAAAGGTTTTGGACATCTATTAGCCAATTCTCTGGCTTTTTCTGGCTAAAATCTCGAGTTAATCTTTTTTTTTTAATCTTCTTAAATCAAGTCATTTAACAATAGATAATAAAAATAATATTGTCTTTAATATAATCATGAATTTTACGCGCTATATATAGTGTTTTTAAACACCGTTTTGAGCCGATTTTTAAAAACGGCTAACTCAATATTTCATCCAGAATTAGAAGTAACAAAGGTTCTGACATCTATTGGCGAAATCTCATGGCTTAGGCAATATTTTTCTGGCTAAAATATTAAGTTAGCCGTTTTTTAAAAATTGGCTCAAAAAGAGTCGTTTAACAACGCTAGCTATATATAATAATCTTCTTCTTCATAAAATTTACTTAATAAATAAAAATCAGAAATTTACACACCTGACGAAACTGATATTAACACTTATATCAAAATACAAACATATTTATTGCAAATTAAAATAATAGACAAAATTTGTTCTGTTGGACGGCTCGAATTGAGCCGATTTTTGAAAATGCTATCTCATTATTTTATCCAGAAAAATATTACGAAAGCCTTAAAGAATTCGCTCGTAGGTGACACTAAGGTTTGGACTTTAATTAAGCGAAATCTCGAGACCTGGGCAAAATTTTTATGGCTAAAATATTGAGTTTGCTTTTTTTAAAAAAAATTGGCTTAAATCTAGCTGTTTAACAACACTAGACGAAAAATAACCATTCAAATTTTAATTTTATATATACAAAGAAAAGCTTTCATTTAAATTAAAATATAAAAGGGACAAAAGATTGATTTTTTTAAAATAAAATGGCAGATTAGTTAGAAAAAAAATTAATACTAGGGATCAAGTTGGGTAGATGGGAATCTAATTTTAAAACAATTTTTAAATAATTATATCAAGTCTCGATTTATGTTTTATATAATTATTTTATTTTTTAAAAAAAATGGTTCAAGTTACCCCATAAAAATGTGAATGAATTGGTGGATTTTTATTATTTTTGGAAAAAGTCTGAAAGGCACGACTCCTTCGCCGCTATTTACAGAGGGGATAAAAAGAAATACACATTCAACCCGAACACCACGTGATATTGATTTCGATAATTATACATTTGATTTTTTTAAAAATTTGTTTTGTTTTTGCTGAAGGCAGTCAGTTACTATGGATTTTTATTATTTTTTTGTTATATAAAATAGCCGGTTTTTTGGTTTGATTAGTAATTGTAAAAAAAAAAAATTATGATAATTTTTTATTATAATAATAGGAAATATATATATATATCATTAAAAAAAAGAAATAGATATTATTATTTTAGAATTCTTGATATTAATATATTGAAAAAATTTTTCGGTTTTTGTAAAAAAAATTAATCAATTTGTTTTTAAAAAAAGATATATATTTTTTTTATTTTAAAAAGTTTGTAAAAATATTGTCTTTTTTAAAATAGAAATAAAGAAAAATTTAGTTTTTAGAATTTAGTAGTTTATGTAATACTTTTGTATAAGAAGAAAATTAAAAAAAAAACGGGTAAAAAAAAGGACTTGTAAAAATAAAAGGGAAACAAGAAAAAAAAACTCTGAACCAAAGTTTAAAAAAAAAGGAAATAAAAACTCGGAACCGATCTAATTAAAACTGCCGATCCCACATCTCCTTTGTAGCATTAAATTTGTCAGTTTTGTTAATAGATTTTTTTTGATAATTGCATCAAACAAAAATAAACGAATGGGGAGGAAATTAAGAATATGAAATAAACTAGTGTTGTAAAACGGCTCATTTTGAGCCGATTTTTAAAAACGGCTAACTCAATATTGTATCCACAAAAATAGTGCATAAGCCTCCAGGTTTCGTTAATAGATATCCAAACCTTTGTTCCTTCTATAGACAAAATTTTCAGGCTTGCGTAATATTATTCAGGATGAAATATTGAGTTAGCCGTTTTTGAAATTCGGCTCAAAATGAGCCATTTAACAACACTAGAATAAACACAATGAAAGAAAATATAAATATTATAATGCTTTAATTAATATTAATAAATCGATTTAAATTTTTTTATCCAAAAAGTGATTACATGGACAAATTAGTGGATGACACTGTGAAGGGTTCCAATGAACTAATCGATAGCCAATCAATAAATAATGAAAAAGATACTTTAATTACTCCACTTCACCATAAAGCATTAAACAATTGTTCCAATGTTATAGATTCTCACGATTTTCAGGGCGAAAATGAAGGCAATCAGTAAATTGCCTATTACTCAAAAGACAAATATAATTTTTCCACGATATTTTTAGTTATATAATATAGAAAGATAAATTTTACTTTTTTTGTAAATTTACATATTTTTTTGTTTTATACGACATTATTATCATGGATGCTCTATTTATATGTACGCGTGGTTTTTCTATTACTTTATGAACGATTTTTATAATAATGATTTTTACTTTAAAAAATATTATATTATGTAAATTTTAAATATTTGTTACATATGGCAAGAACCAAATATTTCAGAATCTTTATTTATTATATATATATATATATACTATACATATACAAATTTAGAGTAGAGAAATATTTGTCTTTATTTTTTAAAATAATAGTGCGCACAAATTGAACGTTTCAACGCAGCATTTCAAAACTCAAATAATGCATTTCAACAGCATTCGTTTAAATTGGTTACATTTCCGTTTTGCATTTTAAATTATTTATTAAAAAACAAAATATCTTGCATTTTATGAAACGCTTAAAAATTTTTGAAGAGATAGCATGGATATAATATTTTCTAGAAAGTTAAAATAATTATATTAAATGATACAATAATATTTTTAGCTTATGGAATTATGATATTATAAAAAGATTTTCTAATTAAATATAGGGCAAGCTTTTTTTTGATTAGAATTTAGACGTTTCATATTGAAAAAATAAAAGTTAACGCTTTAATTTAAACAGCTGCGTTTACGTTTTCTTTATTCTGCGTTATGAAACGTTGCGTTGAAACGTTCAATTTGTACACCGCACTTTAAAATATGTGAAATTACCTATAAAATTTATGATATCAGTTTTCAGATGATTATGCTGCATATTTAATTTTTATTATTACATCTTTATTTTATTAACACTTATATTTTTATAACTATTCTTACATAATTAGATATTAATTATAATATACATTAAAATTAACAAGGTAACAATTTATATTTAAAAAAAAATTATAGCTTAAAGAAAAATCAATGCAAATATTTTATAATTAAAAAATAACATCTTATATATCATAAGGACTTAAGTCCGCCCAACGGATATGCGTATTTTTATAGATATTCTCTGCCTGAGATAATAATTTTTCTTGAGGTTGCACACTTAAATTTAATAAACAAGGATTATGTAAAGGATGTAGTGGGGACGAGGTTAGTTATAGGATTTGGCACTCCAGACAGCTCAGGGTTTAGATTATGAGGATTAGCTTTAACCATGGTAGGCGGAGATGATTCTGGACGGTATATGTAAGTATACACAAGTCAATTTATTTCTAACTTCATTTAGGAGGATGAAAGAAGACTTAGATACAAACAAGTCAATTTATTTCTAGCTTTTACTTAATATTGGAGGACGGTAAAGAATTAGACACAAATCAATTTTTATTGTTAACATAAATAAATTTTTAAAACACAAACGTTATAAATATGTAAAAATAATTTAAATTTTAAGATTTAATAATATTTAATTCACTCCTTAAAAAGTTATTAGTTACATATTTCTATTAATGATAAAAATATATGTAAATAAATTTTGGTCACCTTGAATAAAAGTGGTTATATTTGATAAAAATTATAGTTATAGCTTTTCCAATTAGAGGGGGAATCAATTTATTTTATTTCATTCGCGGGATTTCTCAATCTGTCAATTTAAATATCTTTTAAAAAGTTCGGGCCTAAATATATTAGGGACTCTCCTCATGAGTTTAAGCCTACAGGCATCCCTGGAATTAAGGTTTTATCTTATTAATTAAAAATTAAATATTATACTGATACATTCTCTTTTCCACTCAAAACTACCAGCCAACTTTAATGAAAAACTTAAAAATTAACTTAAAATTTTTTCATTACTGAATTGTTAATTTTCATAGCCACTTATCCATAATTTTTTATATATAAAACTCACAAAAGATTTTTCAAAAAGCAACTAGCTATCAATTCTTATTACTATCCTTGTGTTTTTTTGTAAATAAAAATTTTCATTTGGATGGCAAGGGAGGCTGATAGTTGGTAGTTAATCTGTGTAAATATATTAGAGGTCTGCAAGGGTTTTGGCCTTCCTCTTTTACGTTTGCCCATCACTTCCAAACTTTCAACTTTATTTCCTATGTAGTTCATAGGCCTTCTCATTGTGTGCCCATACCACCTAAGTCTGTTTACCATTAACTTAGTCTTAATGGGCACTACCTATAAACTATTTAGTATTCTTGTACTGCGCACCTTATCCTTTCTTGTTACCCCAGCAATCATCCTCAGCATTCTCATCTCCATAGTTTGTAGACTTCTCTCGTCTGATTCTTTGGTTGGCCATGTTTCCGAACTATATAGAATAGTTGGTTGTACTATGGAACTGTAAAATTTTCATTTTAATTTGTGTGGGATTCTTTTGTCAAATAGCACTCCAGATAAAGATCTCCACTTTAACCACCCTTGATTAATCTTACTCTTTATCTCTTTTTCTATTGTGCCGTTTGTTTGTATAGTGGAGCCCAAATATTTGCAGCTTTCAATTGCGGATATCTGCCAATCATTTATATCAATACTCTCCGTTTCATCTCCTCCTATCACCATATACTCCGTCTTTTCTCTATTTACTTTTAATCCGTGCGTTTCTAGGATATTTATCCAATTCACTAACCTTTCTTTCATTTCATCCTTGGATTCGGCAAGTATCACAATATCATCTGCAAATATCATATTCCACAGGACTGTTTGAGGTATAGATTGTGCTAATACATCTATTACTGTAATGAAGAGAAGTGGGCTGAGAGCCGACCCTTGATGAACTTCGGCTATTGTGAAGCCTGTTGAAGTACCTGTTGTGCTACGGACCATTGTTGTATGTCCCATATACATATCCTGTATTATTCTTATATATTTTTCGGGAACTTTTTTGTGGCGTAGCGCCCACCAGATAAGTTTTCTTGGGATTCTATCGAAGGCCTTTTCTAGATCGAGAAAGACCATGTGTAGCTTTTTGTTCTTTTCCCTGTATTTTGCACTCATTTGCCTAATTGCATGGATAGCATCGGTTGTTGATCTTCCAGGCATAAAGCCAAACTGAGTCTCTCCTATTTCGGTTATATCTCTTAATCTTTTTTCTATTATTTTTTCGTATAGTTTTAGACAGTGTGACATTAGTTTTATGCCCCTGTAATTTTGACAATTGTGTGGATCCCCTTTATTTTTGAAGATAGGAACTAGATAGCTCTGCCTCCATTTTTGGGGAACCTCTTCATTTCCAAGTATTTTATTATACAGATTTGTGAGGAGATGTATTCCATCATCTCCTAGTGCTTTAAGGCTTTCTATTGGAATATCGTCTGGACCCCTAGCTTTGTTGTTTTTCATATGCTTGAGGCATGTGATTATTTCTTGTTCTGTTATAGGTTGTACAAGGTTTTGACAAGGGGAGTGTTCGTCGAGATGAAATATGTGGGAATTAAAGTTGATAAGCTCCTGAAAATATTCTTTCCATCTATTCATTATTTCTTTTTCCTTTATTATCAATTTCCCATCTTTATTTTTGATTACTTTCGGAGCTCCATTTATATCCCTAGAGTTCTTTTCTCGCTGTTTGGCTAATCTGTATATTTTATTTTGCCCTTCTTTGGTATGTAGATCTTCGTACATGTCATCGTATGCCATAGATTTGGCTCTAGCCACCGCCTTTGTAGCTAATCTCTTGGATTTTTTGTATCTTGACTTGTCATCTGCATTTTTGGATTTGTACCATATTTTATAAAGGGCTTTAAAGGTCTGTCCAGATTTTTTCACTGACTTGTGAGCAATTTATTGTTTCAATGTTTGCCATGATTGCAAAGGCATCTGTCATTGTTTTTAATTTGCCCCATTTGATGCATGGTTCCAGTTTTATCTTATTTTGAGTGGATTTATTTGAGATTTGTAAATCCATGATTAGTAGCTTGTGTTGCGCGGTCTCCTGGGATGACTTTGCAGTCTATTACATCTTTTAATCTTCTGCGAGAGATTAGCATGTAATCTATCTGTTTTTTCCTAGTACCACTTTCATATGTTATTAAATGACTGTCTTTTTTCCTATAGTAGGTGTTGGTTAAGGCAAGGTCGAAGGCTTGCGCAAATTTCAGTACGTGCTCTCCTTCATCATTCCTTTCTCCATATCCAAAACCACCATGATGCCTTTTGTAGCTATCTCTTGCTTTCCCCACATGCGCATTTAAGTCACCACCAATTATGACTAGGTCATCCTTAGGGATTTCCATTACAGCTTCATCAAGGATAGCTCTAAAGTCATCTTTCTCTTCTTCCTTGCAACCCGTTTGAGGAGCATATACTGATCCTGCGTCTTTGTTCATACTCGTGTTTCCAATCGTACATCTTACCCATTAGGCCACCCCGGCGATCTATCCATTAAGTCATATATGTGCTTAAACTCAAATCTAATTAGTTTGAAATTATTTCCTTCATATTTTTATTAATATGTGAAATAATTGATATAGTGGGAAAACTATTAATAGATATAGTTCAAGATTTATATTATAGCAAATTAATATTACTTTTAAATATAACAAGGAGCTCGCCTTTAAAATAAATAAATGATTTTCTTTTTTGGTATATTTAGGCTAAAATAATATATTTTGCCCTGGAAGTCTCATTTAAATTTATAATGTATATTCAGTTTCACATATCATTATATTAGAAATTTTCTAAATGAAATTATTGTTTAATATTTTTTTCAAAATGAATACACCTTTTTGTCAATGACCAGATGTATCAACTAGCCTTTACAATTTCAGAGGGTTCAAAAATTTTTTAGCTAACAATTTCAAAATAACATTTTCTTAGGTATTTTTAAAAAAAAATTTAAAATTTTCGAAGAACAAACTTATCAGGGGGCTTGAGCAAACGTGCCCCCTCCTCTCTACTGAAGGCTACTACAATTGACGCTTTACAAGTTATAAATATTATGATCAACGTGATAATCTAAAATTTATTAGGGAATTATTAAAATTCAAAAAAATGGTAATACCTGAAAATATTAAATAGTCACGAAAATAATTCCATAATTCACATCGCGTCATCATACCCGTTCCCTATAACGATTATGTATAAAGTAACGCTTTAATTTCATCTTAAAATATAAATCTGTTATTTTTAGAGATTTCGAGATTGTTTGCTGTTTTTTTATTTATTTATATGTACAATTGATACTCAAGCAAGACTTATATTATTATCGCTCACAATAAAA